GCCATCTATACACTGACCAGTCTAACTCTGCTCACTGTATGGAAGATGAAGAGATTACATCTGGACAAAGAAACAGAGAAATTATTAAGCCTTCTGGTTTTTGATTAATAGCAGAGCTAGATGTATTTACCATTTGGGGTGGAAAGAGATTTGGCTGTGTTAAGAAAGGTAAGAAATGATGAAGAAACACAGGAGATAAATAACATCTGAGTCAGCAGAAAATGACTTCACAAAAGTCTGTCTCAACACCTGAGGTGTCTCATGAACAAATGGCTGCAATTGCTACAGTGTATGCAGAACATTTCCTAGCACAACCTGGAGGGCAGTGGAAAAAAGAAAATTAAGGAATGTGCCATCAGTTTAAACCACAAGGAAGGGGATGATATTGGAGAGGGAGGGGATCCCTCTTTGTCTCTCTCCAACCTGTTTTATGTGAACAGCCACTTCCCATCCTCCTTATGGTCATAACAAATGTGAAGCTACCTGGACAGCAGTGACTTAAAACTTACTTACTTTTATAGGAAATGAGGCATGAAAACTATTATAAAAAACCACGACATCTGAGGTACGAGCTGCATTTTCCTTTCCCCACAGAAAGGTTCTGAATGCCAGAATTGACTGTAAAGCATGGTGGGATGCTGGAAACATCAGCAATTCTTCCTAGGGCATGGCAATACTGCCTTATGAGGCCAAGTTTGAGAAAGAGCAGAATAAATTGCTTGTATGAGCACCTGACACATGGCTTTGTTTGTTGAAAGTGGTTGCAAAGCTCAGAAAATTCTCCACATTTTTGGCCTTTGATCTTGGCAGAGTGGTCCATAAGAACAAACCTATTCAGTGCTGGTGGAAATATCATTAGTGAAAAGAAAAGCCACAACAACTAAGTCCCTACAGAGGTCTTGTGTAACATGAGGGTGTCTGAATATGAGAGCCAATATATGCCCCAGAAGCACAGATTGATAATTAAAAGACCAACTAATGCCTGGAGCAATTTAACCTTTCTTCCTCACATCACACATTGTAGCTCTAATGCATCTTCTGTGCTGCATCTTGTACTTCCTCCATTTTTGGAATGTTCCTGAGACAGCTGCCACGTGTTGAGAACAGAGCTGTTAGACCAACTTCAAGGTATCCTGGGACATTATGTGTTTAGGGGAAAGACTCTGTGTCCCATTAGCCACACAGCCCCACAGGTGGAAGTTCAGCCCCTTTTTGTTATTCTCAGAGGTAGCAGAGAATAACAGGTAATAAATAAATTCACTGCCTCTGCTGTGAATTTATTCCAAGTGTGGCCCCACTCATGCTTGTGAATGATTCCTTTTGCAGTTGACAATTTAGACAAAAGAGAGACTGTGAAGTGGGGACAGGAAGAAATTCTTGTCTGTGCACCCAACTGTGCTTAGTTAGGTCTGCTAAAGGCTTCTTCCACCTTTCTTTGGCTCATTAGAGACAGCACACTGAGCACAATGGACTTGATGTGGTGTGAGAAATCCCCCTTCTCACAGGGTGCCTCCTTCAGAGCAGGCACTTGCCTGACAGCTATTACCTGCCTCCAATTTACTGACCATGGCTCTGACAGAGCTCTATAAAGTGCACAGCAAATAGTTTATTCCAGGGAAGCAGGGTCCAGCCTGCTCCTTTATCCCCCTCACAGCAGTGGTGAGAGAATCAGGCTGCAGCACACCCAGAGCACAGAGAGCCTGGAGAGGAAAATTAAAGGACACAAACAGTTATGAACCTTGACAGGTGAAAATGTTTGCTGTCGGAGGGAGATGCTGAGATGCCAAGTCAATGCCACGCACAGCAGACACCAGGGCAAAGAGAGACAAATGCAGGACATGAACTGCAGGGATTTCACAACAGAAGAGATCTCTGGCTCCACAGCTTTTGATCTCTGTACCTTTGCAATGAGACATTTCATCTGGGAGTCAGCTTTATCCAGTGCTGGATTAACTTCTTGTTCCACAGCTTGACCTGTCACCCAGAGTATTACAGAGATGGGCACTCAGAAGCCCATACACAGAAAACACATTAGATTGAGATAGATGTATTTAACATCAGCACTGTGCAACACATCACACTGCCCACAGCTTAATTTCAGCTTGATTTCCACAAAACAAGACTATAACAACTAAGAAAAGCTTGTGTTTTCATCCAGGCTGAACAATACTAATCTTTTCTTTTGATTTTGGTGAATACTGCTATGGGAAGCCTCACCCACATTTGTATCTCTTTCTAGACTCATCAGCAGGACAGTCTTTGGGACACATTTTCCTTTGCCAGAAAACATTAGCTACAGTAAAAGCTATTGCCTCCCACTTAAATATATGTCATGCATATCATTTCCTGGGACCAGGACACTGCAGACTTCTGGAACAGGGATAACTTGTAAGCTGTTCAAAACACACTGCTCTTAACTATTTAAAGCATTTAAGAAAACAAAATTCACCAAGTGATCACCCAGAACTTCTCTTGCATTACACCTGAAGGATCCCTAAATCTGATTTTGCTTTGGCAAAAGTACACAGAAATGTGGGTATTTTTATTCACACCTACTCACACTTTCTGAGGCAAAGTATAGAAAGCATGTAAGGATACTGTGCATTTTACTGGAAAGCACACAGGAAAACAGAGCTAATTTTAAACTACAAACACTTCACTCAAACCCACAGAGGAGGGTCTATCCTAGGAAGCAGCAGGGTATAATTTCCATTGATGTCACGACATACCAGCAGTAAAGCTGCAATGTTTTGGTACTACATCTAAGAACTACATTAGACTTAACATTTACAGATTAATATTAGACTGAGTGTCACCCCTCAGCTTCCTCCAGAGAAATGTTTTGATAAAGAATAATTTTTTTTTCCAAACCTGTGAGTAGAGAGAGGGTGTAGAAATAGTTGCCCTCCTGTCTGTATCAGTGAGCCCTCTGTATTTTGCATTCTTCCATTGGTTCCAATATTCCCACTAAAATCAAACCATGGAATTCTCTTGGCAAACCTCAGAGAAACATGGGAGGAAAGTACTAATTTTCTGAATCAGAATCAATATGCTGCACAATCATTTTCCATTAATTATTTATTCTTAAAGAGAATATGCTAGCAGACACTTTGGTCCCTGCATCTCCCTTCACAAAGCCTTTGCAACCAGCTCCTGCAATGTGACACCTCTGGGTGGGATTATCAATTCAGCCGCTTACCTGGTCTGCAAATGGTAACAAATTACATCCAAGCTAGTAAAACTTCACAAACTTGCAATTGCACCCAGTGAAGTGAAAATTAACAACTGCCTATCAATTGCCTATTAGCAATGACATTCATTTCTGGATGCCACGGAGGTTCTCACTACTGCTGGGAAAACTTGAAGAGGTAGAAGACTTTGCTTTCAGCTGCTGAGGACACATGGGAGTTTTACAAAGTAAGAGAACTATTTTTTTTTAACTTCTTTAAAAATATTTGTCACTTCTTCCTTCTGTCCTGATCAACTACCACACAGCATTGGATAAACAGAATGAATTCCAATTAATATAAAGTCAACTAAAGGAAAAAAGTAACAGAAGGCTACAAAGATCAGAGAAAATGCTCACTGAGTTACTGTGACCAGATGGCTTTTTGTCAATGTTTGAGAGAAGTCAGGGTTTGATGTATTTCTTCCCCTGCATTATTTTCATGCAAAGGCTCTTCTAGCTCCAGTTCAAAAGTTTGATTTATATCTCAAAACCATCCACCTAGCCAGGCTCCAGCAGCTCTCTCTAATGACATAGCAATGATTTTTTGGATGGCTGTCCACAACATGGATGGTGTTTAGCACTCACCTTAATTGCTTCATCTGTATGTTCACACCACAAGTGAGCACATCTAATCCAAAGGAATGTCTCTACATTTTATCCCTCTTTTTAAACTGTCCCTCATAAACATTTAAAACTGTGAACAAGCTTGCAAGAATGGGTTTTGGCATGAGGAACAGGTGGTGCTAATGTTGGGTAAATGTTCCTGCAGGGGAGAGACTGGAAGTCTGCTATAAATTACGGGGGTATTTCTGCAACTGAAAAACTTGATGTTCATTGATGAAGCTGAGAGAACTCTTTGATGACAAAGCCATCGGGGAGCTTCAAATCATGTCACATCACTAAGTCTTCTTTCTCCATGTGTCTTGGAAAAACATTCTTGCAAACATATGTGATGCACATAGCACTAACAAGTGATGATGGCCTAGAGAAATTATGTATTTCTGCTTCATCACAAATTCAAGCTGAATAGTCTCATACTCAGACACTTTTCCAGGTCAAATTCCTCTTGTATTTATGATGGGGCAAACTCACTTAAATACCTCCCACTGAACATAGGAAGCAAGTAAATTAATTTTGCAATTTGGAGAAACATGTCCTAAATAAGCAGTGGGATCAAAACTTCTTTCTGTCCATCAAAAAGTCATAAATCTATGCTCTAAATGACTAAAGGACTCCATGCAGTGAGAAAAAGAATTTATAGGAATATACTTGCAGTATGAGGTCCACAATTTCTAAATCTTGCCATCAATGTCCTTTTATAATCTGCAGTACTTGTTCCCTACAGCGAAGCACTTAGATAATGCCTTTCTGATAAGAGATCCTCTCCATGGAGGCTCTGAGCTGGACAGAACCCCATGTGACAGTGAGCAGGAAAATGTTTCCTGCTGATGAATTTTTCTGGGGCAGTACCATCCCCATGTGCCAGCGAGCAGTTTTGAGAGGAAAATGGAAAATCACTGGAAAACAGAGAACAGGTGCTTCTCTTTCACCTTTTTTCTCCACATGGATGGCTGCAGGGCATGGACCCACTGTTTCAGTAGTTTCTTTGGGAGTCAATTACATCTCAATTCCAATTGCTCTCTATACACTGCAGCTTCCAAAATACAAATCTCAGCCATAAGGAGAACCCATTTCCACAGATTTAAACCCAAAACATGCCCCACCAACTCCATCCCCACAGCAGAGCCCTCTGCATACAGCAGTCACTGACCTTTGTGCCCTGTCTGTGATCTCCTCCTCCAGATCCAGCAGGAGTGCTGCCTGAGCCATCAGCTCCTTGCTGCAGGGCAGGGATTTGAGGTGCAGAATCAGCAAACCAAGGCAGAACTTGCTTCCCATCTCCTCCAGCTCCTGCGTTCCCAGCTGCAGGCCCTGTGGAGAGAAGCACAAGGTTTCGTGATTCCTACATATGGAAGTTTCCCCTACAGAATCATCTGTAAATTAATTAACAGCACGTGGTCTACAGAAGCTATCCCAAAATACCCTCTGTTTTACAGCAGGGGAAACAGAGGCAAATAGTTTAAATGTCTCAAATAAATTTTCAGAAGTCGTTGTAAGAATTACACTTAAGAATTGGACCCCAGGAGAATCTGACTGTAAATCCACTTTTAGAAATCATCCAGTTTTTCTTTTTCTCTCTAGAGGAGCTGTCTACCTAAGTAATGGGGGGAAAAAATAAGTCCTGTTATTATAAACATTAGGCAGTGGCAAAGATGGAAAAGGGAACCGGACAAAGGGAGAAAAGAGAGGAAGAGATCTTTAACAAGTTATGAATTGTTTTTTTAAGAAAATCAATTGCAAAGTAATTGCAAAATAACAGACACCTCCAAGGAATTTCTCAGTCTGTTAAAAGCTGGTCGCACAAACAGGGTTTGCATTATCAACTTCATCTTTCACAAGAGGAATTCTCCAAGCAGTGGATCCTTGCTGGTTGTGAATAGTCTGTGTTTGGTTTTACACCAAGAGCCTACATCAGAGTATGTCAGTGTAATTGATGGCAGTTTCATGCTTCTGGTGAGAGGAGGGCAGGAGACAAACAGAGCTCAGATAAACCAGAAAGAAACTAAAACTGCAGAGTCCCTCATCTTTGGCACTTAGAGACTGCATCGCCCATCAGGGGCTGGACCAGCTGCTGCCTCTGCCAATAACAGCCCTGTGTGGTGTTGCAGCAAAAAACATCTCTGCAGCCAAGCTTCTGAGAGACCTCCAGCTCCATTCCCAGACTGTTTCCTTAGCAACTCTCAGGAGTCCAGAATAAGCCCTGGCCCTAAGCATGGTGTGAGGTGCACATCACTCTCCAGCAGATATTTGTTAGTGAGCATCTCATGGGTACTGCACATATTATAATTTATATTATAAAACATAATGTGTTCAGTAATCCGTAACAGGGGACAGAGCTCTGCTCTTTTCCTATATAAAGTTATTTTTTGTAAAATGCTTTGGGATCCTGGGGTCTGAGCACCTCTGTGTAGCTGGAAGATGATTTCTGAGCCAAAACCACACCGGTGGATGGAAGGAAGAAGAGATTTCACACATAAATGTCTGCAGCTCTCCCGAGGAGTTTTTCAGTGCAATTTTGTTAGAGGACAGAAACCATTTGCACAGCACCACCATAATTTCCTCTCTAGCAGGTCCAGCACATGCAAATATCATCTGGCATAAAAACCTCCCTCTCTGATCACATTTCCCTGTCGACAAGATATTGTAATTCAATTTCTTTTCTGAGGCCCTATGAGCAAAGCATGAATCCATAGTTATGATGAACATAATCCAGAACTCAAACATGTTCTGAGGGGCTGGACAAGGAAGGACCTGCTCAGAAGAGCACACTCAATCTGAGGGAACAGCCTCAGTGCTAGGCAGGGTCTAGGACCCCAGGAAAACTGACTTTTATTCTCTTAAGCATGTTTATCACAGTAGTTAGATGTCTAACATAAGTTCTACTCTCCTCTTATTCACCTCCACTGCAAGTTTTGCCAAGCAAGATAGGGCTACAAAAAAGTTCAGTAATAATTTATAAGAAAAACAAAAATGTAGGAAGAAGTTTATGGGAACTGAGGGTTCATTAACACAAAACAATAAGAATGCTCAGCAGCTCTAAACAGATTCCTAAATGTTTTATTATTTTACTTTAAAAGACTGAAGATATTGTAGTGTGGCAGAGTTACAACCAGCAGGCAGAAGTGGTGACATTTCAGAGAAAAAAGATGTCATTTCCACAGCAAGAGAGTTATTTTCTCAGGGGCAAAAAATACAAAGAACATCTCAAGGCTTTCCCTGGGGTGCATCTCAGGGTCTTGCTTCCAAGATTAAGGCAACATACTAAACAGCTATCAAGGAGATGCAAACAGTGCCTGAGCTGAAACTCAGCCTGTGGCTTTATGACTCCCTAGAGCTTTACTCAGGATATGGAGAGGCCTTATGAAACTATGAGCAAAACAATAATAATAATGATATTAACACTATAACACACCTCAGAAGCTTAAGACAGTAACTGTTCATGCACTGAAGTCAGCTGCTGGATGATGCACCCATATTGCTTTGATGTTACACAGCTCAGGAGTAGCAGCTAGAGACTCAGCCAGAGGATTGCCTGTTAGCTTACTTTATTCACCTCAAACATGGACATCTATTTGTTCTAACTCAGCCAATTTTCTCTCTCCTTTCTCCCTCCCTCAGCAGAGGGAGGGAGGAGCTGGAGGTGCAGAGCAGCACTACCATTAAACTGAAGCTGGGGACAGAGCTGACATGTTGAGCTAATGTTATTGATGGCATCTGCCAGCAATGCCAGGACCTGGTGTAGTGGTTAATAATCAGTCCCACCTGCATTACTGAAAGGGAAGCCTGACCTCCAGGCATTTCCCTTGCAGCCATGTGGCACAGCCAGCTGCAAAAATGTTGAGGTTGTGCTTACAACAGACTTATGAAAATATCCTAAAAGAAAGAAGGTAGAAAGGTAGAAATGATGCAGTCTGGTTTGGCTGAGGAGCTGGTAGGAAGCACAGCTCCATGGCAGGGAAGCTGTCTGGGTGTTACCAAGTGACAAGACACGGTCTGTTTGTCACAGCTGTACATGGGGAAGCTGCTCTGCCTGCCAGCACCTCCCCTGCAGTGTCCTGCCAGCCTCGATTCTCACTGACCCCATCTTCCCCTCTGGCACAGGGCTCTGTCCCCTCCTCTGGGCACATCTGTGTGGCCACTGGAGCATGGTGCAAAGCCTCCCATGCCAAAAGGATCCAGGTGAATTCTGAAGGAGGAAGCAGTACCCCTGCACCAGAAAGCTGCAGATAAGCTCATCAGTCCTAATTAGTGCAGCCTCAGAAACATGCTAACTAATCCACCCTACTTTAATGATCAGCTCAAAGCTCCACACAGGTTTTGCTCTCCATTACATCAAAGCACCAGTCTGGACCAGCATCAGCTTGATGCACCAGATTCCTCTGCACAATGCAAATTGGTCCCTTGGGCTCTGTCATGCAATAATCTTCTGCAGACATCATGTTAAGGGATAACAGGTTAATTGTTTCCTGGCTATTATAGAGAGTAATGGAGCTGAAAAAGTTTTCTTAAGCCCTTTTCACTGCAAAAGACAGAATGGGAGGAGGTGATGCCTAATAACAGCCCAAGTTCAAATTATATTTATTTTCCACTGTAATACAAAACAGGGAAACAAACATAAAAGACTTATCATTTGGCCTCAACACTATCCATACAAATTTTCCTAAACAAAATGGATCAAATTGTATTGGAAAAGCAGTTCATTCATGCTCAGCACTGATGCATCAAATGAATACCCACAACTGAATATTTCCAATATCTCTCAGCTTGCCCTCAAAATTCTTCCCAGGCTAAATGACAATGTAATGGAAAAACTTTATTATTCATTACTCATGTGCTTTAAATACTCCAGGAGACAAAGACAGTGATAGTTTTGTATCACAGATATTGTTGAAGGAGGTGGAAAGACTCCAGGAGTTAAATTAGAGATTTCTCCACAAGGGTAATGAGAATTACAGTAAAATTAGAGCTGGGAGATTCTAATAAATACAAGTAGAGAGAAAATTTCAGAGGGATCGATTTTTTCCTAAAAGGGATTTTTGACATTCAGCACAGCCATATCAGTGGCCTCTCCTGCTTTAGGTCACTGTTCAGTCCTCGGGGCATCAGCTTTTCCCTGCAAACCCACTTCCAGTCAACACATATACACACACACTTACAGAATATTCCCTGCATCTCAACAGCTTTACACATGCACAATGGCTATGCCCTCAGGCCGGGTATAAATAAATTGACAGTCTGGTTTCTCACTAATTCCATCAGTGAGCTCTCCCTTGGAATACTAATCAAAACCATTTGGAAGCTCTAGAGGACAAACTTAGGGAGCTGAATGAAACATTTGGTGCCTGGTGTCTGCAGCCTTAATTTTAGCTTGAGCCAGCCCTGAAGGTTACTGTACTTTCAACCCCTGTGAATGAAAATACACAGACACCTGCTGGGGACCTGGCTATTTGGACAGCTAGGACAGCAGGGAATAACTCAGGTTTTCTGAGATCCCTCAGCAGCAGGAATGGTATGCAAAACAGATGAAGTGGAGGGGATGGGAATTTGGGCCAAAACATATCAAGAGGATTAAGCGAGTGGAAAAGGCTGAAGATGCAAGGGTAAAAAACAAAACAGGCTAGTAGGAATTTCTAGAAAGATGAGAGGGACTGGAATTAGAGACAGGAGATAAAACGGTGCGGAAGATAAAAGGATGAGAAAGAAGAAAGTGTTGTTGAGGTCAATGGATGCTGATACAGAGGAATGGAAACTAGAAAAAAGCTAATGGCAACCTTGACCACCTTGGCACCCTTGGGGAAGTTGCCTTGCTCTGCACATCTGTCCTCATTACATCTGGTGCTCTGCCCACACAGTGAGGAGAAAAGTCCTGACTTGCTTTGAATCTCCTCACAAAACTTCTGCTGATCTCAGCTGGTGTTTCAGCTGAGCAAACTTCAACAGCACAGAAGTAATTATTGTTTTAATCATTCAAATGGGCTCTTTTACTATTAAAAGATAGGTACGTCACAGGCAGCACTGCTCAAGGACCAGACTGAAAGGGATGATGAAATATCTTCTCCTTCCAATCTGCTGGAGAAAAAGTCCTGGACAAGCTGCTCATAGAAGAACTGGGGATTTAACAAAAAGAATTTGTTGCCAATTTCTCTAGAAAAAAACAGTTATTTAGGTTATGAAGTCTCCAGTTCCATTGTGGGGAAAGGTACTTTCCTTCTTTCCATTGACTAGCTATTTGTCTGGCATTTCCATACATTTCCACCTTTCCCTCACATTATTTCCACAGATGTTTCCTTCCACCCTTTTCCCCCTCCTAG